GAGTCTGTAACCTTAAGCGTTTTTAACCCAAAGCGTTTTTAACCCGAGGTACCCCTGTACACTGTAAGGAACAGGAGGGATGAGCAGGGCTTTTTAAGGGTAGGCTGTGCGCAAATAAACATGGCATAGGCCAGAACCAGGTATCACTTTGTTTTTCTGGTATGGATCCAGGTACAGGATCCCGGATTCTTGTTGAGTCGTGTCCTTGGCACACTTCCATGTATGTACTCAAAAGATTTCTTCCCTCTTTTATTTAAAGCAATGTGTTTTGTTGGGAGAGGCTTGAAATCACTTAAGCAATGCCAATAAAGCTCTGTCCTCGTTGATGTTGTACGCAAATTGGACAAGAGTTATGACATACTCATTTTCCCTCTGTGCTGGCATAGATCCAAAGCATTTTTCAGGTGTGCTCAAGAAAGGGCTCTGCACCTCAGCAAGTCAAAAATGGTACATGTGTCACGGATGGCAGCTCACAAGGAGTGGGGCTACTAAGTCTTTGGGGGGCCTCAGTCAATTTGGTAGAGCACAAAAGGGGGTCCAACATTATGCCAGCCTGCCTCCAGGCTTGGAGCATATCCAGAGGAACTTTTGATTGGGCTCTTTGAAAATCTGATTCCATGCTATATCATGATCCATACAGTGGTGAGGCTAACTTCCAAGTGGACATGTGTAGGAATGCATTGAGCTGTCAGACCTTTTTGGCTCTACAGGCCATATCTTTGTCATAGAAGTACACCATTGGCCAAATTTGACAAGTGGGAGAGGCTACCCACCTGTCAATCACACATCTTTAGGAAGTGGGAAAATTTTGGGTTTCTGCTTGAGAACAACGAACTAAAAGCCCCCTTGGGTGTATGAAATTAGTTATAATTCTCTGGTCCTGGGCATTCACAATTTGGCATGGTGACATCCAGGAATCACTACAATGGATAACACTTTTGTGTGTGTGTGTGTCTGATGAGAGGGTGATAGTAGTAAAGAATGGAACTGAGTTAAGGGTCACCAAGTTGCTGATGATGTTTAAGACTAAATATAGACCCAGCACGAGCTTTTAAAAAACTTGGGTTTTTTACTGCTATGAATGACTTCCTTCTATATTTGCAGACAGCAATGTGCTATGCATATCGGATGAAGAGGATTTCCCTACCTGCAACTGAAATTAAGGAAAAGCAATGCAACATTTACAAATTGTGCTACATAAAAATTTACTCTCGGGTCATGAAGGGTCAAATAACCAGAGCAGTGACTAAGTACCGTATTGACTCGAGTCTAACGTGTCATTGAATCTAACACGCACCTCCATTGTCAGAACCTTGAAACCAATAAAAAGTATTTGCTGGCGAATGTAAATGTGCCACTGAATCTAATGCACACCTTAATTTTCGCAATGCAATTTGACCAAAAAATGTGAGCATTAGACTCGAGGAAATATGATATCTGCTACAAAGACCTCATTTCATACTTATGTTTATATTCAAGTAAGGCCTACTCAGAGTAGACCCATTGATACGAATGAACCAAAGTTAGTCATGTCCATTAACTTCAATGGGACTATTCTGAGTAGGGCTAACACTGAATACCACCCTAGGAATTGTTGCAGATGCATTTACTCACCCCTTCACACCAACACTCCCTGCGGGTGGCACATTTTATTTGTCTTACATGTGCACAGAGAGCCTAAATGTGAATTGCTGGTAATAGCACCCTGGTAGATTGATCTTGTCTTTGTCCATGGAGTTTTCTTGGCAGTTTCCTGGCGTGCTCTGGTCCATGGGGTCACGAAGAGTCGGACACGACTAAACGACTAAACAACAGATTGATCTTAAGGGACGCAGGTGGCGCTGTGGGTTAAACCACAGAGCCTAGGACTTGCCAATCAGAAGGTCAGCGGTTCGAATCCCTGTGATGGGGTGAGCTCCCGTTGCTCGGTCCCTGCTCCTGCCAACCTAGCAGTTTGAAAGCACGTCATAGTGCAAGTAGATAAATAGATCCGGCGGGAAGGTAAACGACGTTTCCGTGCGCTGCTCTAGTTTGCCAGAAGCGGCTTAGTCATGCTGGCCACATGACCCGGAAGCTGTACGCCGGCTCCCTTGGCCAATAAAGCGAGATGAGCGCCGCAACCCCAGAGTCGGCCACAACTGGACCTAATTGTCAGGGGTCCCTTTACCTTTACCTTTAGGTTGATCTTAAGAGGAGCACAGTAAAGCATTTTTACACCACCTTTCTCCAAACAGCCAAGTTTTATGTTTCTAAACCAAAACAAAAGTTCCCCCAAGGTTACTCTACCCCCATCTTGGCAGTGTATGCGCCTGGTGAATTCTTGGGTCATGTGCAAACATGCATCAAGACTCATGGCCCTAAAGCCTAAGTAAATTGCAAAACAACTAAAGTAAACTGAATCTGAAAAAAGCATTAGCTCAGAGTTGATGAACTTGTGCCTGAAGAATGCAGCTGCAGGCTCATGCGCATTATTACTTTATTCTATACAAATAATAATAATAAATCTCTGTACAAATAAGTCTAGCATGTTTGGAAAGGTTCTAAGCATAGCCTCCTTCAGGGCATGGTAGCTTACTGTGTGGAAGCTCACAGTTTAGTCACCCAACTGAGATCTACACTATGCAAGGGGAACCTGTGGCTTTCCAAATATTTTGAACCACATCATCCCTAACCATTGAACATGCTGGCTGGGGTTGATGGGAGTTAGAGTCCAGCAACATCTGGAAGGCACCAAGTTTCTTAATCCCTGAAGTAGGGCTTAACAATGCACTAAAATGAAATTATCTTAATTAGCAGTGTTCTCTAGCTCAGTGGGGAAAACAGTTTCTAAAATAGCAAACATTGTTTTAATATGCACTGGAGGGGAAAAAACCAAGGTATTAAGCTAAAAAGTACCTGGGCCCAACCAAATGTCAATTCTGACAGTCACTATAGGCATATGTTCCATTGTTGCAAGTTTCCCAATGCTTTGGGGATTAAGGGCATACAACTTCTCTGAGCTAGGATCCAAGCATTGCCAAACAAAGGGCCAAACAACCTAGGTATGAATCACAAAGTCAGGCAAACCTCTCTGTTCTCCTCAATCTCTCCATTTGCAATAAGTAGGATGTTACCGACTCAGACAACCATATGAGGTAAGGCAACAAAATGAGCTTTGTGAAACAGCTGAATACTTTGAAGTGTTATACAAATAAAAATATTTTAACATTATTCAGAAAGGACTATTGATTTGAAACAATCTGAGAAAACATGAAACATATGAGCCGGAGAAAGGGATTCAGAAGTAAGAGATGCAGTGGAAGAGTTTAATTTATAGTGGTTTCTTTCTGCAACAGGAACTGACTCCAGGTTAACTCTAAAGAATCTGCAAACGAAGCACTGAATGGCAAAACCAAACAAAGATTCTCATGGCGCCTTTAAAATTTATTACATTTATTGTGGTGTCAGGGTTTGCTGGAACAGACTTAGCATGGCTAACCTTCTGAAAAACTGACCAGTTATCTATTACCCCTTTACATAAGACAAAGGAGTCATTGATTACATCAGAGGACAGCAGAGGCAGAAGAAAAGTAAATATTAATTTATAAAGTATCTAATCACAAAATGACGCAATTGGATGACACAGATTGGGGGGGGGCGGGTATTTGCTTTTTTGGTTGGCTTTTTAAAAAAGAGTTCTGAGTGATTGCCTAGCAAAAATATTAGGCTATAAAAACTCAAAATGGATATGATATGCAGCTTGAAGATCATCATTCTAGTTTCTTAATTCTTTAAAACAAAGCACTTTTTACTGTTCTTTCCTGATGTCAGTTTTACGTGCCTGTAGATCGCCCATCCCAAAAAAATGTCTAATTGAAAGTAGACCCAACTTTTTAGTGTGGTAAGAAAACAAAGTGAAGCTTCTCAAAAACTATCTTGGAAAATATTACTGAAAAATAAATCTATGCTAACATGATTACCTCAAAAAAAAATTTCCAGCAAAACTTTATTTCCATGGTCACAAACCTATTTATGTGGAAACATGTTCTGCTGAAAACCATTGAACTTACTTCAGTGCAAATTGTAGACTCTATATACTGCATAAAATTAAGGTTGCAATCCTTAAAACACTCAGTAAACCCCACTAGATTTACTTCTGAGTAAGCACACATAGGATTACTCTGTGCAAAAGCTTTTATTCTACTGAAACCAGTATTCGAACATGGCTGTTATTTTAAAATGGTGTTAAGTGTAATTTTATTCAAAGCAAAGGCAGCCATGGAAAGTTAGGTCCAAGGATTAACGCCAGAGAAGTTCTATTTACATATGCCTGGTAGTATAATGGACATGACCTGCAGGAATATCTTAAGTATATTTAATCAGAATCAAACCAGCCATTTTTGGGACGGGGCTTTGCGCTTGCCTCCCCTCCCCGGGACGATTGTCCTATGTAATGCAATTGTCTTATAACTATTAATTAGTAAAGCCAGAAGCTTGAAAAGTTACAGGGCCATTCCCGACCCTTGAAGCGTGTGCGTAAAACAGAATTAATGCCGTTCCGAGATGTTGCCCACTAGCCTCCGCCGCGCTCCCTCCCTGGGCCAAACTCTGTCCCGGTTGTTGATGCAAAAAGCAGCGTGCCTCCTTCGCTCCATGCGGGCTGGCAGGCCTCCCTCGCCTGCCCCAATCAAGAGCCGCAGCGGCGGAGGAGTGGCCCGGGGGCGGCGGCCCAGGCCGGCGGCGAGAAGAGCTGCAAGCGGCGGAGGGGGAGGGGGGAGGCGTGAAAGGGAAAGGAACAAAAGCAAGCTCTCTCTCCGTTGAAACCGGCCAGGTACCAGCTGTTCTGCCTATGACACTTCTAGTGCCAGAGCCATTAGGCACATATTTCCGGGAGGGGGGTGTCATTTCCCGCATGCAAATAGGGGGTGTCTTTTTTTTCCTGAGCAGACCACCCTTTTTCCCCATTGCAACAAAGCTAATTCATTCAGGCAGCCCAAACCCTCCGCTCCCCACCCGCTTACCTTCCGCAGTTCGTTCTCGATCTCGCCCGCTTTCAAGACGATGGGCCCCCGCACGGCGTACTCCACCGCTTTGACCTGGGGGTTCATGGATTCCAGCGTGAGGATCTTTTCCCGGGTCTGCTTCTCCTTGATCGGGATCGCAGAGGCCTTGGCAGCGCTGCTCCAGTCTTTCCCCGGCGGCCGGCGGGGCCGGGCGGCCGATCTCGGCTGCTTGTTGCCGGCCACGAGCGAGGAGACGAAGCGCACGGCCGCCTCTGTCCGTTCATTCTTGCTGCTCGGGCGAGCGGCTTCTTTCGCGAGTCCCGAGAGGCGATGCATGCTCCCCCTTGGAGGGTGCAAATTCCAGAGGTGGTGGGGAAAGCAATCACATCCACCTCTTAAAAAACAACAAAACCCCCCCAAAAACAACCCCTGTTATTTCGCAACAGAGATGCAGTAAGACCTCACGAGCAAAAATTTAAATTAAAATAAAATCAACGTTGCCCGAGTACAAGTGCATGCTTGGCAAGGTTCTTTTTTTCCTCCTCCAAGCTTCCAAGCAACTTGACGGAAAGAGGGCAGAGTTGGGTCTTTACAAGAAAGAGCAGTTATGCTCTCGCCCAATGAGGAAGACGACTCCCAGCACTGTAAGGATTAGGTCCTCGCAGTCGCAATCTGTATTCTCTGCAGAGGAGCAAAGTCCGGGGAAATCCCATCCGGCCAAAGACCCGAGACACCCCCAACTGCAAGCCCGCCCCTCCAAGACCCTCTTTTTCCCGCTACCGCCTGTGGAGATAAGAGATTGCACCAGCCAGGACTGTCAGCCGCGCTGCCTGGTGGGTCTTGTAGTCCTGCTTCCCTCTAGCTGAGCCAACCCAGTAGCACCAGGTGGTGACATATAAAACTACCACGCCCAGAATCCCCTCCTAGGCAGAGCAGCCTAGTGCTTGTATTTTGTCATTGTGCTTGCGAGGATGTGGGATGGAGTTGGCTGCGTGGGTAATAATGGGGAGATCACGCCACGTCTAAAATGCGATCTCCTTAAATAGTACCTTGTGTAGTTTGTTAGCTTTTAATTTTAAAAGGCGAGGCTGTTTGAGAAACGTTGGCGTAATTATTCTTTCCCCCACGGCGGTGCGGTTCCAAATTGAAGAAGGCTCCCCAGGTCGCGCAAACAGTGCATGCATTAAAGAGAACCTGGAAAAGAAATGCGCCTGCAATTTCAAAGCCCGTGATAAAGGCTACAATCCTATCGTGTCCTGTGCATACTAATAGCGTGGTCATTATCCGCGTGCAGATTATTGTGCAGCGACAATGGAACCAGCTGCAGGAAACGCCAAAGTATACACCAGTAAAAATCTCACACAGAGAGAAAAACAAAGGGAGAAGCCTTCTCAAAATACAACCCAATGAAAACTCAACAGGCTTAGTGGTCACAGAGTACAGGGCTAGGGGGTGGAATGGAGTATCCTAATAAGGGGCATGGCTAGCAACACACTGTGCAGGTGCAGCTATACTGCAACATTCTGTTGCAGGCACACTTAACCACAATTTCTAGGGATATGGCTCCACTGAGCTGGATGTGACATCCAGATAAACTTGTTTAAGATTAAAAACTGTAAAGTGTCTTGGCTGCACTGTAAAACTCACTGTAAGGATATAAGAAGAGCCTAGTCCACAATCCTGTTCTCACGATGGCCAGCCGGGTGCCTGTTGAAGCTTGCAAACAAGGCCAGAACTCAACAGCCTACAGTTTCCAGCAATGTATTCAGAAACATTACTGCCTCCAATTATGGATCTCAGGGTTGCGGGTTTGAGCCCCACATTGCACACAAAAATTGCAGGGGTCAGACTAGATGACCCTTGTGGTCCCTTCCAACTCTTCAGTTCTGTGATTCTTTGGCACCAGAGCATACATATCATGGTTAGTAGCCATTGGTAGCCTTATCCTTCATAAATTTGTCCAACTCCCCCCTCCCCACAATGAAATCTCTAGATGTTGCTCAGAAACTTTCAGCAGTGAAAAATAAGATTGTTAATATTATTACCTACAGCTGGACAAGGTTAAATCCTCATGTTGCTTCATCCTGTGCAGGGGCGGAATTAGGTTTGATGAGGCCCAAGCTACTGAAGGTAATGGGGCCCTTTATATGGCCAGCTGTCCTTTGTCAAAAACAAATTGCCATTGTTTTTTGTGTTGCATATATGCTATATGGTAATTTATGGACCTACTAGGTATCTAAAGCCATTTGCCACTGTTGCTGTATGTAGGTTTTATTTTATTTGCTTTTTATCTTATATTTTGGAAATGTACATCCAGTTTTTTTCTCTTTAAATTTTTTGGGGGCCCCCAAGAGAGTGGGGCCCTAAGCTATAGATTGTTTAGCTTATATGTAAAATCGGCACTGATCCTGTGTATCTATCAACTGGCTAGAAGCTTGCACAAGATGTGAGTGGCTTGTCCTATTCTCAAAACAGATTTTCAAAGGTAGTTTCCCTCTAGTAAATGTGCCTAGGATTAAGGCCCTAAGGCGAAAGCAAAGAAAGAAAAAGTGGGAGTACAACTACTTTTGTACAAGGAAGAGCATTTATGACTCAATATAAGCCACCAGCAACGATAAGAGAACAGCACTGAACTGTTGCACAATTAATTGGGCCTGTTCAGCAACAGTGTTTTTCCACTAATGATGCTTACATTTTTTGACATGGAAAATAACTATGCAGTCTGATGACTTTATATGTAAATTTGAGAACAATGGGTCTTGCTCCCAGGTAAGTGTATATTGAACATAAGAAGAAGCTGCTGGATCAGTATACTGTACAGTGGTACCTCAGGTTACATACGCTTCAGGTTACATACTCTTCAGGTTACAGACTCCACTAACCCAGAAATAGTACCTCGGGTTAAGAACTTTGCTTCAGGATGAGAACAGAAATCGTGCTTCGGCGGCACGGCAGCAGCGGGAGGCCCCATTAGCTAAAGTGGTGCTTCAGGTTAAGAACAGTTTCAGGTTAAGTACGGACCTCCTGAACGAATTAAGTACTTAACCTGAGGTACCACTGTATACTGTTCTCGTAGTGGCCATTCAAATGCCTGTAGCAAACTAGCAAGCAGCATTTGAGCACAAGAGCCCTCTTCCCTCCTGTGTTTTCCAGCAACTGGCATTGCTGCCTCCAGTTGTGGAGGCAGAGCATAGCCATCATGGGTATTGGATGGGTCCATACATTTGTGCGGCCAACAAGAAAATAGTAATTGACAACAATGATGTTCTATTCACTATGAATGATAGTTGTGTGTACTAATCTACAGCACATGGCACATAAGGCTTTACATAGAGAATAACCAAATCCAGCACATGCTTTCATATGACAGCCCATCAGGACGCATTTAATTGGCATCCCTTACAAAATCCAGTGCACATGCTTGAGAAGAGGGCATATAATTAATTTGAATACAGTCATACCTCATGTTACATTTGCTTCATGTTACGTTCTTTCAGGTTACGTCCCGCGGCGACCCAGAAGTACCGGAAAGGGTTACTTCCGGGTTTCGCCGCTCGCGCATGCACAGAAGTGCAAAATGACGTCATGCGCAGAAGCGGCGAATCGCAACCCACGCGTGCGCAGACATGCCGCTACGGGTTGCGCTCTTTTCATGTTGCGAACGGACCTCCGGAACGGATCCCGTTCGCAACCAGAGGTACCACTGTACATATATTATAATATACACACTGCTTGTTTTTTTGATTAAAAAAATATTTTAAGGGGAATTGAATATTTCTGAACCATTTAAAGCTCATCAACACGGAATGGAAGATGGCAGGATCCCCAAGGACATAGTACTCTATGGGGAGCTGGCTTCAGACGATGGGCTTGTAGGCAGAAAAACTCTACGTTACAAAGATGTCTGCAAAAGGTGTTGGCAACATCAACCCCGCCTTATGGGAATCCCTTGCCTGGAGACAGTCAATTTGTGTATCCACAGCAGTGACCAGAGCAGGAATGACTCCTGGGAGGAGTGCAAAGAAAATAAATGCCATGGTGCACCTGTAGAAGCAAAACCAGATGCCTACATCTGCTCCACCTGCATTGGTCTCCACAGCCAGAGGAGGCACTGTAACTTTCCAGTGGTTTGTTTTTACCTCCAGGCACATTCTTCCATTGTCTCCCAAGACAGATGGATGCCAACAAATTTAAAGGCTGTTTTAGGAATATGTAGAAAAGGCCCTTGCATATCTACACAGAAGCAACAGCAAAATCCTAGTCATGTCCACTCAGAAACGAGTCTTGGTGATTTCAGTGGGATTTATTTCCAGGTAATCATGTACAGAATTGCAACCGTAGGCAACAATCCTATACCCATTGAATTCAATGTGCCTTCTGTATATGCAGGTATAGGATCGCTTGTCAGTGTTACAAGCTGCACTGCCTGTAAATCTGATTCACAAGCCATTTACGCAGAAGTACTTTGATTTAAAATTAATTTCCAAAATCTTCCGATTCATCAGTTGTACGTGTCTCAGTATGCAGCACTATAAGCTGTGACACAACAATGCCATCTCTATGATTAACAAAAAGCTGCTGGATATTGTTGTTGCTGTGCAGGTTGGTAATCTTTGATGTTTCATGAGAACTATTGGCAGAACTATAACCTTTGCAAAATAATGATGTAAATACTCTGTCTTCACCAGTTTTGATGTTTACTTAAATTCCTGACTGTTGCACAAATAACTTGTATGTGTCAAGTTAATTAAGGAAAGAGACTGTGTTGTTACATTCTTGGTTCGGAGAAATCTAGTATGATTAAACAAGTACTTTGGCTATAGGTGCTTCATTAAATTAAAAAGAAAACTAACAACATTCCAGGCCTCATTTAACTAATGCCCCAAGGGATGACTGTTTCATTGGGTGGTATTATACTAAATTTTACTCAGAGTAAATAACTTAAATTAATGAACATGACTTAGTTAGGTCCATTAATTTCAGTTGGTCTTCTATGAGTAAAACTTAGTTGACTGCTACCCACTGAGTCTAGTTTTTGTTCAGGAATTAAACTCACTTTGTATGTGAGTTTATTTATTTATTTATTTTGCTACAATGTATATATCAAAGAGGAAGAATGTTTGAATAACATGCTACAGCCTGTATTATTCTGAGCCAAAGTGAGAAAAGTTGATATGCCCTAAAAATAGAAATTATCTCAGTAACTAGGTGCATTATTGGAGTGTTCTTTATTAAAAGGCATGCACTGCAAGGTCCCTGGTCCAACCCTCAGCTCATATGGGAACTTCCTAGATGGCTTTATATAATATGCCACATTTCTTAGCCTTAGCATCTCATTTTTAATCTGAAGACAAGCCATTTGTGAATACGGTATTATTCAGGGTGCATTTGCACCTATGTTCTCAAACAGCTGCAGTTAGCAAAACCTTCAGCAGGAAAATACTTCTCTTCTGTACTGTCTGCACTGTGAAATGTGAAGCACTAGAGAACTTAATAAATGCATTGTGCAAATACAGTACAGTAATAAGCATTTAGCATCCTGCAGGTGTGGAGAAACTATGCCCTTGTTTTTTGCTTTTCCATCTAGGATGGAGAGAGTTAAGTTCAAGCAAGAACTATAAACGAAGGCTATATATAAGTGCAAAGAGGATAGCTGAAATTATTAGGCACTGCCTCTGACAATATTTCTGAAATGTTACTAAGTTTAAAAAAAGATAAAAAGAAAATAAGATACTAATGCTGGCATAGTAAAATTAGACAGTGATCAAGAAATCAAGATCATGAGAATAAATAAATGGAAGGGCCTTTCCAATATATTTTGGTGCCAATGTATAAAGTCTGATTTATGTTTTTCCTTAATGATAAATATATATTAATACATTAAGTAGCATAAAATTTTCAGTCCTTTAATGGTGCTTGAAG